TCTGAATGGTATAATCTGGATAAGGCTTTTTTTTTTTGGTCTTTTTGAGACAGGGTCTCCCTGTAGCCTCAGCTGTCCTGGAACTATGTGGACCAGGCTGGCCTCCAACTCACAGAGATCCACCTGCCTCTGCCTCCCAAGTGCTGAGATTAAAGGCGTGTGCCACCACACCTGGCTGAGATTTCACTTTTCACCTCTAACTGCACTGCCTTTCCTCAGCCATGGAGTCACTTATCTTACTATGAAGCTCATAACTGTCCCAGCCCTAGCTTTTCCTTGGAGTTCCCAGTTTCTTGGTCCCTTGCATCCCAGACACTCACCAGGCCCCTTAGCATGATATTTTACCCGTCCTCAATTTGGCTTCCTCTGCAAAGCCCACTCTAATTCCACCTTGAAATGGGATGACTGCCTGCCCCATCCTCCAGCCAGATCTTTATCATCATTCTCTGGCTTATCCTCAGCGTAGGGCCTATGCCTCTACTAAGCATGCTCTTAATTACTGTCTCCAGGAGGTACATTCAACCATTCCCACTTTGGAGACAGGGGCATGAGGCCTGAGACTAAGTAAACTGCCTTGGGCCACAGGAACTAGCCCCAGGAATAGAGGCAGCAGTCAGGACTGGGGTCAGAGGCAGTTTCTTTCCTTCTTCAGCTATTGCTGTAGTTGCCCCTAGAGTTCTGTGGTGATTAAAGACATGCTTTGAATGAGATAGGCCACCTCAGGAGGAAATGATCTGATAACTCAGATTTTAACAAGGCCACTGGCTTAGATACCTGAAAAACAAAGTTATGGGGGCTTAGAGATAGTTCAGCAGTTTAAGAGCACTGGCTATTCTTGTAGAAGACCTGACCTGAGTTGGTTCCCAGCACCTACACGGTGGGTAGGCTAACAACCATCTATAACTCCACTTCCAGGGGACCCAATGCCCTCTTCTGGCCTCTGCAGGCACTGCATGCATATGGTATACTTACGTGCAGGCAAAATAACTTACACACATAAACTAAAAATAAATATACAAAAGAATCCAGAAGAGAAAAGAAAAAATGGCTATACACAAGTCAGGAGTGGTGGCAAGACCCTGTCTAAAAATAAAATGGCTGCAGGGGTACTTCCCAAGGCTCAACAGTCACAGGCTGACTGGTACCTCAGCTAAAACATGTTCGAGGAGCACTCTTCCAGCAGAGGTAGACGATCTGGGAAGGTGTGCAGAGGACTTCAGCAAGCAGAGGCACCACCAGAACCTGCTCTGCCCCCCTGGCTCTATGGCCATGAACCTGGGCTGGCACACGGGATGCCGGATGGAATTCAGGTACCCACCAGACTCCCCTAGTTCTGTCTGAATGGCCACTCATTTCTTCTGAGTTTAGGACTTGGTCATCTGAGGACCAGGATCTATTTCCTCAGCCAGCTTCTTACTTTTTTAAAGGTTTATTTTTATTTTTGAGTTATGTGCATATGTGTGTGGGTACATGCACGTTTGAGTACAAGTACTCAAAGAGTCCAGAAGTGGACAACAGATCCCTGGAGCTGCAGGTACAGGTGGTACCTGACATGCTTTTAACTGCTGAGCCATCTCTCCAGCTCCAGCTTATGCCTGTCCCCTTTTTAAATCTCTTAAAAAAATTTTTTTTGCCAGGCGTGGTGGCGCATGCCTGTAATCCCAGCACTTGGGAGGCAGAGGCAGGTGGATCTCTGTGAGTTCAAGGCCAGCCTGGTCTACATAGTGAGTTCCAGGACAGCTGGGGCTGCAGGGAGACCCTGTCTCAAAAAGATAAAAAAAAAAAAAAAAAAGATTTTGGCCAGACGTGGTGATGCGTGCCTTTAATCCCAGCCCTTGGGAGGCAGAGACAGGCAGATCTCTATGAGTTCGAGGCTAGCCTGGTCTACATAGTGACTCCTAGGTCAGCTGGAGCTACCGGGAGACCCTGTCTCAAAAAAACAAAACAAAACAAAACAAAACAAAAAAACACCAAAAAACAAACAAGCAAGCAAGCAAACAAAACAAAACAAAAAATTTTGGTTTTGGCTCAGGTGTGGTGACGCACATCTTTAATCCCAGCACTTGGGAGGCAGAGGCAGGCAGATCTCTGAATCTGAGGACAGCCTGGCTCTACATAGTGAGTGCCAGGCCAGCTGGGGCTACAGCAAGACCCTGTCTCAAAAATTTTACTTTGGGTTTTGGATTTATGTGTGTGAGTGTTTGGCCTATATGCATATAAGTATACCTGTACATGCAACACCCATGGAGGTCAGAAGAGTGTCAGGTTCCCTGGAACCGGAGTTTTGAGGTTTATTAGCTACCATATGGGTGTTGGGAACTAACCCAGGTCCTCAGCAAGAGCAGCCAGTGCTCTTAACTGCTAAGCCATCTTTCCAGTCCCTGGGGCTTATTTCTTTCTCTCTTTCTCTCTTTTTTCTTTTTGGTGTTTTTGAGACCTGTAGCTCCAGCTGGTCTGGCACTCACTATGTAGACCAGGCTAGCTTTGAACTCACAGAGATCCACTTACCTCTGCCTCCTAAATGCTGGGATTAAAGGTGTGCACCTTCTTTTAATTATTTTCTCAGTGTTGGGATGGGACACAAGGCCTCACACATGCAAGCAAGTGATTCACTACTGGGCTACATCCCCAGGATCCTTAGGATAGATTAATCAGAATAAAGAAAACAGTAGAGGCTGTGTGGTGGTAAAGCAAACCTGTAATCCTAGTATTTGGGAAGCTGATAGAGAAGGATGGTGAGTTCAAGACCAGCTGGGCTACAAAGGAGACTTTATCTCAAAATACCAAAATAGCTGGGCATCGGAGTACATGCCTGTAGTCCAAGCACTTAGGAGGCAGAGGCAGGTGGATCTCTGTGAGTTCCAGATCAGCTAGGGCTACATAGTGAGATCCTGCCTCAAAAACAAAATAAGTAAACAAATTACTGTTATTTTCTTAGCTGTTATAACGGCATTATGACATAAAAGAATATCTTTCTTAGGCCGGGCGTGGTGGCACACGCCTTTAGTCCCAGCACTTGGGAGGCAGAGGCAGGTGGATCTTTGTGAGTTCAAGGTCAGCCTGGTCTACATAGTGAGTTCAGGTCAGCTGGGACTACAGGGAGAGACCCTGTCTCAAAAAGACCAAAAAAAAAAAAAAAAAAAAAAAAAAAAAAAAAAAGAATCTCTTTCTTAGGGGTGAATACAGAGGTATTTGAAAATGAACAAGCTAGGGATGTTGCCTTGCCTGTGGATGCCCTGGACTGAATCCATAGCACTGCATAAACTGGGAGTGGTGGCACATGCCAGCACCTGAGAGGTAGAGGCAGGAAATGAGAAATTCAGGTCTAATTTGGCTAAATAGTAAGATGCCAACCTGGGCTACACAAGGCCCTGCCTCAAAAAAAAAGAAGTAAACTTGCTTCAAACAACTGAGCCACAGTGAGTGTGAAGACCAGAGGACAACTTGCAGGAGTTGGTTCTCTCCTTCAACTATATGGTACCTAGGGATCAAACTCAGGTCATCAGGCTTGGCAGCAAGTGGGTGAACAAAAATGTGTGTGTGTGTATTTATATCTATCTATCTATCTATCTATCTTCTATCTATCTACCTACCTATCTAATCTATCTTATATATATCATATATATCACATATATATCATATATATATACACACTGTATATATTAAAAGACTAGGGGGTATGGCTTGTAGGGGCATGGCTCTATGGTAGAATCCATGCCTACCATGTACAGGCCCTGAACTAGGATCCATTCCCTGCACTGAAAACAAAACAAAACCCGAACATAAAGGAATACTGACTATAGCAAAATGTTAACCATGGAACCTAGGTGGTGGGTAGGCTATTCATTGTGTCACTGTGTGCTTCAAATTTTTTTTCATAAAAACCTAAGAGAAAATAGAATCCTTTTGACCTATGGCAGAAATAAGAGACTAGATGTGGTAAGCACATGTCAGTAGTCCCATCACTCAGGATAATGAGGCAGAAGGACAGAAAGTTCAAGGCTAGAAAGGACTTGCCCTACAGGCTTCTGTACAATTACCCAGCTTCCCCTTCTCTGTCTGTTGCTCCTAAAGAGGCAGTGCAGCCTGTTCTTGGATGAATGATGACTGACATCCTCTGCAGCCTACTCACCAGCATCCCACTCCAACAGGCTGGGGTCTTCCCAACTGCTGCCTGCTGCTGTGCGGATGCAGCGCTTCAATTTCTCTGGCTTGCCTTTCTTCTTGTCTTCACCCAGTGGCTCTGGGACCTGTAGAGGGAGGGATGGATGGTGGGAGTGTCCTGCTCTGCACTGGTGCCTCCTGTTCAAGGGCTAGATATGTTTCTAGGTATGGCAAATGAGGCTGTTTTGCCCTACCCGAGCCATGCCACCCTCTAGCCAGAGGACTGTGTGTTCCTGTGTGTGGAGCTCATGGGCTCCTGCCTTCTCCCCAGTCCCTTCCGTCCCCTCACTACATGTTCCCTACTTACCTCTAGAGCCATGAGACCAGGGGGTGGTTCAGGCCGAGGGGGCCGGGGCCGTGGACGCAGAGACAGGAGCTCAGGAATGCGCAGTGGGGGCAGTAGGCCACGAACTACCTCCAGTGGGAGGGGCAGGGGCTCAGGCTCGGGCAAGGGCATGGCCAGGGCCAGCGGGAGGCTCGGCCCAATGACTGCAGGGCCAGTGGGGGCTCCTCCTGCTCCCACAGCTACTGCTGCACTAGCTTCTTCCAGCCCAGTAGCTGCTGCCACCACTGCCTCTTCCTTCTCCTTCAGGCCTAACCCCAGGCCTAGGCCCAGCTCTCGGGGTGCTGCTGGTTCTTCCTGTGGGAAAGAGGAGGGCATGAGCAGGCCAGTTCACAAACTCACATCTTACTTCATTCCCGTCATGTATAAAGCAAGGGTCTGGGAGCCAGGGAGGCGGGGGAAAGGAAGTATAGGTAGCCAGAAATAGAAACACAGGCAGCAAGGAGGACAGATACAGGTAGCTGCAGAGGAGAGGAGAGGGCATCAAAGGAAAACGGAAGCTCATGGAAATAGATCCACGGCAGGTGCTGCTCTCTATAATCTCTTCCAAAACAATGAAAGCTGGGCATGGTGCACATGCTCTACCTCCAGCACTCAGGCAGCTGAGGCAGAAGAACTGCAAGTCCCAGGCCAGCCTCACTACATAGCGAGTTCTTTACTCAGAACAGCAAAGAAAAACAAAGATTTCTGTTGAAGAGACAGGGAAAGACAGAGGGTAGGAAGACTCAAAATCTGAGAAGGAAAACTGGGGGAAGAGCAGACTCTCACAGTCCATGGGGTTAGGATTGGGGGACCCCACCTACAACACCTTTGACCTCAGTAGCCATTCCCACTTACCAGTGGAGGCCTCAGAGCAGCCATGGAGCCCAGGGGCGGTCCAGGGGCACGAGCCATTGGTGGAAGCATCATGGGTGGTCCAGGAGGCCCAGGCAAAGGGGGTCCCACGAGGGCCTGGTGAGGGGGCCTCAGGGCCATAGGGCGAGGGCCACCTGCTGCAGAAGAGAGAGCAGAATCTGTCAGGGTGTTAGTGGGGGAGTCCAGGGCTTGGGGGTAGTTGTGTGGCAGAGATCATGACCCTGGCCCCTCACCTGCTCTCTGTAGCACATGGGGGACGAAGGCTGGACGCAGGATAGGGGCCCTCTGAGGGGCCACAGCTGTGGGAGAGAGAGATGGGGGGGTGTCATGGGGGACAGGGACACTTGGGGCAAGGTGGGTGTGTTGATACTCTCAGCATCCAAGAAATCCTGGAGAAGTTGCTGAGGACCCTTTGGGGAGATGAGGGGGTCTTGCATTGATTCACTCAGCAAGATGACCATGAGGATCTCCTGTGGGCCCAGCCCTGTGGTGAACAGTGCTAGGGACCCAGTAGACCATGAGGTCTCTGGGAGCAACTAGTCCAGGATAGGAGGCAATCCATATCACAAGAGAAATGAAGCCCAGAGAGGTCAGGGCTGGAAGGATGGAAAGCTCAGGCTAAGGGATGAGGGCTCAGAGGCGAAGGCTAGGGAGCTGCTGGGGGCCAGAGTGGCCTGACCCAGCCAGCGGGACTAGGGACTGTTTGGAGAAAGGGACATGTGAGCTGGGACCTGAGGCTACAGGAGCTAGTCAAGAAGAGTGGGAGTATCATTGGCAGAGTGAGCATTTATGAGGAAAAACCTTTCCCCTCTTCAGTCTAGGGAGTATCCAGAGGAAGGAGGGCTAGAGAGTTCCATGTGAAAGGCTGGGAGATCAGCAGGCATCAAAACACAGTCTTCCTGGCTGAGCCATGGTGTTTCTGAGGGCACTAGCAAGCCAAGCATGGTTGGGAACTACACAGGGTGACTAGGTCAGATCTGTACTTTGATAAAACCATAATGAAGAATAGGAGATGTCAACATTTCTCAGATATCACTAGGTAATGTATACTAGAGACGGGACGGACAGACATGCCAGCACTCAGGAGGCAGAGGCAAGAGGATTATAAGTTTGAGGTCAGCCTGGGTTACACAGCAAGATCCTGCTTCAAAAAGTCAAGGGCTAGGATATAGAGCATTTGCCTAGCACGTGCAAGGCCCTGGGTTCATACCCAAGACACCAACAAAAAGGGTAACAGCATTTACAGAACACAACAAGTTCCATTTAATAGATTCTACCAAAATTTTATACCCAACTGAGAACTCAGATCTATTCACACATTGTGCACAGGTAATGTCACAGAAGCTAATTCTGTGTGTGTGTGCATGTGCGTGTCTGAACAAGAGGTGGCACATGTGGATGGAAGTCTACAGCTGGAAGGCTGGAAGGCTACAGCTGAGGGACAAGAAGCAGAGCAGAGAAGGTTCCTCCTGATACCAGTCATGTTTGGAGCTCCTGAGGGTGCTGGGAGGCTCTGTCTCTTAGGGAAGCAGGTCACAGAGGGTCCTGGCCACTAGTGAAACGTCTGGTTGCTTGTCTGGTGCTTGTCTGGACTCTCTATCATCCCCTCAGCAGCAGTATGTCATGCTTACTCTGTGGCAGGAACCAAAGTTCTGCCTTTCACAAAGCTGGTAAGTCAGAGGAGGCAAAAAATGAAAGCCATAATAAACAAGCCGTAGAGCTTGCTAGAAGTTGCCAGGTGTGGGAGGGAAATGGCCAAGGTTTTCAGTGAACAACATAAGGGGGCTAGCTTCGAGAGGGCAAGGTTAAGCAACCTGACAAGACAACCATAAAGTTCCCAGTCAGGCCTTAATTGTAGAAAAATGGTAACATCAGGGTGGGGATGAGAGGAGAAGGTTGATTTAAAGCAGACTTGGGCAAGGGTCTGGAGTCGTTTAAACAAGTCTAAACAAGTGTGCCTGTCAAATGTGGGGGTCCTGGTCCCTGACCTACCTGCTCGCCTCAGGAACATGGCCTCTCGAGCCTCTGGACTGTCCAGGTGACTCCGATCACCAGGGCCGAAGCCAACTGTGGAGAGGAAAGATGAGGATGGTGGGAGGCAAGTCCTGGGTCTCCCTTCTTACCACCCTGCCTGATTCCAGTCCCCGTATCTCACCACACATCATTTACCTGGGCCCACAAAAGGAGGGCCGCCCACCATGGGAGGAACTACTGTGGCTGCTGCCGCTGCCCGGGCCTCCAGGGTCTGCTGGACCTGTTGGGGAGAAGGCCACGGCAAAGGGCTGACTCAGTGTTGCCAATATGCTCCAGCTGGCTTACACTGTGCTCTGTGGAGCTGGTACCTTGTCAGGTTTTGCTACAAGGTGACTTGCAGGGGCTCTTGGGGCCACACTAGCTAACATTGTTCTTCTCCTAGGATCAATTCCTCTCCCCACCCTGATTTACCTTCCCTACCGATCTTCTACCCAAGTGCTAACCAGGCTGGACCCTGCCTCATTTCTGAATCAGGAGTGTTCAACGTAAGGCTGTAGACCCCACAGCACTATTTCAAATTATGTCCAACTAGTCTTCCCTGTCTCCAGGTTTCACACTGGTTCAAACACCATCACCTCTTGTCTAGATTACACTAGCCTTTTTCTCAACTTCCTTGAATTTTCCCTTGCTCTCTATGGTTTATTGCTCAGACAGCTAGACTTACCCAGTTAACCTGTAAGTTGGATCATATCTTTCTTTTTGAAACAGGGTCTCCCTGTAGCGCCAGGTGGCCTAGAACCCACTATGTAGACCAGGCTGGCCTTGAACTCAGAGATCCTCCTGCCTCTGCCTCCTGAGTGCTAGGACTACAGACATGCGCCACCACACCCAGCTGGATCATATTTTTATAGCTCAAAATCCTCCAGAAGCTCATCTCAAAGTAAAAGCCAAGGTTCTTTTGGTGGTTCACGGGACCCTGCAAGACCTAGCCTCCAGACTGTCTTTATCTCCTCTGCTTTGGTCTTTGCACTCATTGCACTCCAGCCACTGATCTCCCTGGATATGTTCCCTGGACATGACAGTCCTGTACTTTGTCTTGGGGTCTCTGTACAGACAGTTCTCGGCTGGGAATGACCTTACCTCAGATACCTGCATGGTTCCCTCTATCATCTCCTGTGTGTCTCTGCTTTAATACTGATGCAGAAAGGCCTTCCCTGACTGATGATAAAACTCTGCCCTTCTTACCATTCTGTAAGCTGTCCTTATAAAATCCAAAGATGCAATAATAACTTTTTGGTTTTGTTTTCTACAATCTGCCCATTGATTAGAACAGTGCCTAGTGCATAGAACACAGGCAACAACTGATGTTAATAATTTTTTTTTTTTTTTTTTGGTGCAAGGGATTGAACATATGGCTATGGCATGCTAGGGATGGGTTCCATCTCAGTCCACCTAGTAACTGTTAACAGAATTAACACAGTTCACTTACTTGTGTTCATTTCAATAGCTTCTCTCTGCTTCTTTCTTTCCAATAGTCACATATGGTTGGCTATTAAGCACTTGAAATTTTACTAATGAGACTCAGGAATGATTAAACGTAAGTATAAATTTAACTATTTACTTTTTTTGTAGTGGGATTCAAACCCTGGTCCTTGCATATACTAGGTAAGTACACTGTCACTGGACTACACCCCGAATCTTAAGTATAAATTTTTTTGAGGGTCTCACTATGTAACCCTAGCTGGCCTGGAACTCACTATGTAGACCAGGCTGGCCTCAGTCTCACTGAGATCACCTGCCTCTGCTTCCTGAGTGCTGGGATTAAAGGTGTGCATCATCAAGCTTGGCTGTCTTTAAGCATAAATCTTCAACAGATGGTTATGTAGAACATTCCCGCCATCGCATAAAGTTATACCAGACACTATGTTGTAGAACAGACGCTCCAAGAAAGTTAAATATAGTTTTAGTCCTTACTTGTATCTTCAGTGCCTGGCACATGAACTATTTCCCATTGCTAATTAACAAACCAGCCCAATCGTCAACAGCGCTCCACATGCACACACTTGGGATCCAAGCATTGTGCTTCTTGGCTCCAACGTCGTAGTTCCGCCTTACCTGCTGGTAGGTGTTGGTTGCGATAATTGGGCGGATCACAGGAGCTGCCGGCACCTGCATGGGGTCTACTGTGGGCACCGTGGGCACTGCAGGCGGGATTCCGGTCACTGGAGCACCCAATACTTCCTGCTCAAACCTGGGGGAGAAGGACAGGCATCACAGGTCAGGTCCTCGCAGCCCTCCTGGAGCGCCTGGCTACATCATGACAGCGTCTTCATCCCTGCCGACGTGTCCCCACATCCCGCGGCCCTCAGGTCCCACGATCCCTCACGGAGCCACAGCCTGGGCTTCTGGTAGCCTGGAAGAAGCCAGGTTGAGTGGCTCTGCCTGGGAACCGCTTTCCCTGCTCCCTCTCGGGGCCTTACAGAGCCATCTCCGCCTCCATTTCCTTCAGGCGTTCCTCGCCGCTCTTGCCCGGGATGCCGCCACCAGGCCCCGGGATCACGGGTCCTCCCGCCACCGGGAGCCCCGGAGCCGGCACCACCCCAGCCATCGCTGCTGCAGTCGCCGTCGCCGCTCCCCTCTGGCTCTAGACGCCGCCAGGAATTCCACTATCTACCCCGTAGGCTCGGCGGGGTGGGCGCTGGCCGATGACGTACAACGAACACGACAGACGCGACACGTGACGCCATAGGCCCGAGAACTGGGGCCAATGAGACATGGCCACGCCCCCAGGGAGGAATGCTAGCCAATCAGAGTGCCGGGAAGACAACAGCCTGCGTCTGTCCGAGCGGGCGGAGCGGGCCGCCCCGCCCTCACGGAGGAACGTGGGCGAATGAGAACGAAGCAAAGTCAGCTAGGCCCACCCCGTTGTGGAAGCCGGAACTCCGGGGAAAGTTCCCCGGCTCTTCCAGAAGTTTGTAAACACACCGGACTCAACGTTACCCGTAGGTCTAGCCCAGACCCGTGGCCTCTGCGCTGTGTGGACAGACGCACGACTCTTTGTTGTCAAAATTTTATTTTATTGGTTGCTTCTTTGTTTTGTTTTGCTTTTTCGAGACAAAGTCTGACTCTTTAGCCCAGGCTGGCTTGGAGCTCGTAGCAATCCTAGCACTCCTACCAAGTCTCCTGCTACAGCTGCCCAAGTGCAGGAATTACAGGCGTGCGTTAGCACGGGTCAAAACACAGGTTTTTAGAGATATGATGAGAATTGAGGCTCCTTTTTAACATGAAAAATTTCTTATTACTGCCAGGCGTGGTGGCCCAAGCCTTTAATCCCAGCACTCAGAGACAGAGGCAGGCAGATCGCTGGGAATTGAAGGCCAGCATTGTCTACATGGCGAGTTCCAGGCTTCCAGGACACCTGGGGCTACAGGGAGACCCTGTCTCAAAAATAACAAAAAAAAATCTTATTACATTTATTTTTCATACAGGGTCTCACTATGTAGCCCTAGCTGACCTACAGAGACTAGGCTGGCTGGAAACCCAGAAATCCGCCTGCCCTTTGCCTCTAGGGTGCTGGGATTAAAGTTGTGTACCACTATGCCTGGCTATTTAGTGTTTGTATGTCTGTGTGTGGGCACCTGCACACCAAGAGGACCACTTGCAGGAGTCTCCTCCCCTTTCACCATGTGGGTCCTGGGACTCGAACTCAGGTCATCATTGTTGAAAGTAAGCGCCTCTGAGTCATCTCTGCAGCCTCTCTTTTTCTTTCTTTCGTTCTCTATCTTTTCCTTTTCCTTTCCTTTCCTTTCCTTTTTTTTTTCTTTTTTTTGTCTTTTTGACACCGTCTCCCTGTAGCCCCAGCTGGCCTGGAACTCTCTATGTAGACCAGGCTGGCCTGGAACTCAGAGATATTCCTGCCTCTGCCTCCCAAGTACTGGGATTAAAGGCATGTACCACCAGGCTTAGCTGTGTACCCTTTTTTTTTTTTTTTTTTTTGTCTTTTTGAGACAGGGTCTTCCTATAGCCCGAGCTGTCCTGGAACTCACTATGTAAACCATCCTGGCCTTGAACTCAGAGATCCACCTGCCTCTGACTCTGCCTCCCAAGTGCTGGGACTACAGGCATGCACCACCACGCCCAGCAACAGACTTTTTTAAAAAACAATTTCAGCTGTGCACAGTGCATTTGCACTTTTCCACTATAAAGTTAGTTATTTAAAAATGCCTTTTTTTGGGAGGCAGAGAGAAGTGAATTTCTGTGAGATCAAGGCCAGCCTGGTCTACATAGGGAGTTCCAGGTCAGCTGGGGCTACAGGTGTTCATGTCTATAAAATTCCCTAAATCAACCACTTGGACACTGAGTCTCAGTAAAAAGGAGTACTTTATTGGAGCCAACCAGTTGGGGACCAGCTGTACTGTGACCCCCGGGCAGTGAAAACACAGGGATTTTAAGCACAAAAACCACAAAGCAGAGCTGGGTGTGCTGGCGCACGCCTGTAATCCCAGCACTTGGGAGGCAGAGGCAGAGGCAGGTGGATCTCTGTGAGTTCAAGGCCAGCCTGGTCTACGTAGTGAGTTTCAGGACAGCTGGGGCTACAGGGAGACCCTGCTTCAAAAAAGACGGAAAAAAAACACCTGAAAAAAAACACAAAGCAGGGGATTGCTATAGAAACCATGCACAGAATAACCAGGGAAAGATTTGAACAATCTAGGGCTGATTTCCAGAGCCTTAACCTATACAGCCATTGGCTAGCTTACCTGGGGCAGAATGTTCTTTCTCTTCTGCCCCAGACCATTCCCATAGACACCATGAACAGATGTACCAGGAAAGGGGTTGAACAATGGAGGGGGTTTCCAGAGCCAGGTGGAGGGCAGCTTGTTCTCAGAGGATAGGGAGGGGGTCTGAGGGGCACTTTCCTTCACAGGGAAACCCTGTCTCAAAACACACAAACCAAACACAAAATAGAGCAAGCAAGGGGCTGAAGAGATGGCTCAGTGGTTAAGAGCACTGACTGCTCTTGCAGAGGACCAGGATTCGATTCCCAACACCCATGTGGTGGCTACACTTAAGTTCAGTTCCAGGGGAATCTGCTGCCCTGTGCTGCCCTCCAAGGCACTGCCCGACAGGGGTGCACTCACATACATGCAGGCACTACACTCATACACATAAATATAATAAATTTTTTTAAAAAGCAAGCAAGTACAGCCTTAAGGAGCAGGGAGTATTGCCACTTCTCTTTTAGACAGGGCCTCAGTGTAGCCCAGGCTGGCATTAAACTTGGTATCCTTTTGCCTCAATCTCCCGAGTATTTGTGTGTGACTGACTGCACCTCTTTGAAAGAATATGGACATAAATTACTACAAGTTTTCTAAGGGGGAAGTTTCTCTGCTGTCCCCTATTTGTTCAGTCCTTCATGTCACTATGGACTTGTAGGAATTTTTTTTTTTGAGACAAGGTCTCCCTGTACCCCAAGCTGGCCTGGAACTTGCTGCTGTAGACAAGGCTAGCCTCAATCTCACAGAGGTCCTCCTGCCTCTGCCTCCTGAGTGCTGGGATTACAGGAGTGCACCACTACACTGGCTGGAATTTATATTTTGGGTTATAATTTCATTTCAGTTTTTGGTGTTTGAGTAAAGGTCTTGCTATGTAGTCCTGGCTGATAAGGAACTCACTATGTAGACTAGGCTTGACTTGAACCTACAGCAAGTCTCCTGCTTCTGTCTGCTGTGTGCTGGGGGGAGCCACCAAGCCTGGCATCCTAAATCTTGTCTTTTGTTTAAGATGGGGTGTATCCCATACTGGCTTCAAGTTCCCTATTTAACCAGTTGGTCTTGAATTCCTGATCCTCCTGCCTCCACCTCCTTAATGCTAGAATTGCAGGCATAGAACACAATGCCGGGTTTTTTAGGCAGTGCTGGGAGGGAACTTAGGGCTTCCCAAACACTCCACTAACTGAGCTACATCATTTGTCCCCCTAAATCTTTTTTAAACAATTTATTAAATTTTAATGTTCGAGTGTTTTCCCTGCATGTATGTAAGTGCACCCATGTCAGTCCAATGACTGGACTAGAAGAGGACATCAAACCCCCTGGATTGCAGATGGTTGTTAGCCACTATGTGGGTGCTGGGAGCTGAGCTTGGGTCCTTTGTAAGAGAAACCAGTGCTTTTAACTGCTGAGCCATCTCCTGAGCTCCTTTCCTAAATCTTTAAAAATCTCTTAATTTGCCAGGCATGGTGGCACATGCCTTTAATCCCAGCACTTGGGAGGCAGAGGCAGGCATATCTCTGAGAGTTCCAGACCAGCCTGGTTTACATAGTGAGTTCCAGGCTAGCTGGGGCTACAGGGAGGCCCTGTCTCAAAAGACCAAAAACAAAACATACACAACAACAACAAAAAAACTTTCTTCCCTTCTTTCCCTGTTTTCTTTCTTTCTCCCCTCCCCCGCCCCTTTTTGCCTAATCTTGCAGAAGAAACAGGATCATGTACCATCAAATGCCCTGAAATTACACAATTTATACTCGTGAGGGGCATAGGCTTGATTAGATTTAGTGGAAAAAGAACACAGTTGAGCCTCAGTATACACAATTCCACAACACTAGTGTTTGTATATCTATTTTACAGTCAGGGGTTCATGATCTCAGGCTGGTCATGCAGCTGCGGATAACCTTCAGCTTCTGATCCTCCTGTCTCCACCTTGTAAGTGCTAAAATGTCAGAACTTTACCAGGTCCGGTTTATGCTATGGTGAGGAGCATGGGCTTCATGCATGCTAGGCAAGCAGTCTGCAACTAAGCTGCCTTTCCAGCCCTCTACATAGTTTAATTTCTCGATTACTTCTAACAATAGTGTTGGTATTCTGTATCTTAGGGGGAATGACAACTAGGAAAAAAGTCTGTACATATTTGGATACGTTTTCAGATTCAGTGGGTGCTTGGTTAAATGCAGATGGGGAACCCAGCCTCACATGGTGGGTGAGAGGAGTGGCCACTGTGTTTCATAGATACTGCTGTTGTATTCTAACCCATTGTGTCCAGTTGAATCCTGTAGCCTGTGGGGTTAGGGTGCCCTTTGGTGACCCTTTCAGTTTCTATCCATTTTAAGAAGACTTGCAGGGTGTGGTGGCACAGGACTTTAATCTCAGCACTTGGGAAGCAGAAGCAGGGGGATCTTTGTGAGTTTGAGGCCAGCCTGGTCTACATAATAAACTCCAGGCCAGCTTGGGCTACAGGGAGACCCTGTCTCAAAAAGACAAAAGGACAGAAAAAAAAGCAGTCTTTTTAAAATCTCTTTTAGTTTCCCTGTAGCCACAGCTAGCCTGGAATTCACCATGTAGACCAGGCTGGCCTCGATCTCATAGAGATCTGCCTGCCTCTGTCTCCTGGGTGCTGGGATTAAAGGTGTGTACCACTACAGCTGGCTCTGGTGCGGTCTCTTTTTTGGCCTTTTTGAGACAGGGTCTCCCTGTAGCCCCAGCTGGCCTGGAACTCACTATGTAGATCAGGCTGGCCTTGAATTCAGAGATCCACCTGCCTCTGCCTCCAGAGTGCTGGGATTAAAAGCCTGTGCCACCATGCCTGGCTAGTGCAGTCACAGTAAGAGTTACCTATTACTTCTTTTTTATAAAAAGTCTCACCGTGTAGCCCAAGCTAGCCTCAAACTCACAGTCTTTTGGCTACCTCCTGAGTGCTGGGATTACAGGGGTTCAACACCTCACTCCTTCGTTGTTACTAGTGAGTGTATATTCAGTTGGCCCCAGAATCCTGACTTGACCACAGCTGTCCTGAAGGACTTCCTTGCTTTTCGGCATGAAACAATCTCATAGTTCCTGCTCCAGGTTCAGAACTGGCTATGTTTTCCCAGGATTCCTGGCTCCTGTTAGTCAGAAATGGCACTTTGAGACCACAGTCTGGACACTAGGATTGCTCACTGCTACTGTGTTATCATTAAATCTACATCTTCAGGGGGCTGGAGAGATGGCTCAGCGGTTAAGAACACTGGTTGTTCTTGCAGAAGACCTGGGTTCGAATCCCAGCACCCACATGGCAGCTAACAACTGTTGGCAACTCCAGTCCCAGGGGATCCAACAGCCTCTTCTGACCTCTGTGGGCATTGCATGACATGGGTGCACTTACCTACATGCAGGCAATACATGCATATACATAAAATAAAAAATAATAAAATAAAAAAATCTACATCTTCAGTGAACTTAGCTAAGGAAACACATTTTGCAAAGGCAAATCACAAATTGGTATTTCCAACTCAAATGAAACACTATGGGGTGTTTACATTGTCTTCATTAAAATGTAACAAAAAATTTTAAAAAGTACTTTGCCTGCATGTATGTAAGTGCACTATGTGTGTACAATGCCTGCAGAGGCCAGAAGAGGGTATTGGATCCCTTATAACTGGAGTTAACAGACGTTTGTTTGCCATAATGTGGGTGCTGAGAACCAAACCCAGGTTCTCTGCAAGAGCAGCCAGTGCTCTTAACTGCTGAGCCATCTCTCCAGCCCCCTTTATTAAAATTTAAAATTATTTATTGTGTCCATGTGCATACCATAGCATTTGTGTGGAGATCACAGGACAACTTTCAGGGGTCTCTCTCTCCTTCTACCAGAGATCAAACTCAGGTTGTCAGGCTTGGCTGCAAATTCCTTTACCTGCCAAGCTAACTCACTGGCCTCCTTTTAATTTGTTTGGAATTTGAGAATTATTGGGATATGTATATGTGTATATATATAAAACAAAATATTAGATCAATTTCCTAGGTTAAACTACAAATATCTCAGATTAAAATATCAAAAAATCAGGCTGGGCGTGGTGGCGCACGCCTTTCATCCCAGCACTTGGGAGGCAGAGGCAGGCAGATCTTTGTGAGTTCAAGGCCAGCCTGGTCTACATAGTGAGTTCCAGGACAGCTGGAGCTAAAAGGAGACCCTGTCCCAAAAAAAAAAAAAAAAAAAAAAAAAAGTCGAAAAATAAAAGCTGTAAAACCTGTAAGACCTGTGCTACAGTTTGAATCTGAAATGGCCTCCACAGGCTTATGTTTGAACAGCCTGGATATGGGTACTGTTCTGCAATTAGTGACCCTTTGGGACAAGGGGCCTGGCTAGTAGGAGCGAGCCTTGAACACTGCCTCTATCTCTGGTTCTGACTCAAGTGCTCTGCCTCTAGATCCACCAAGATGCGAACAGGCCATGCCTCAGGCTCCCACCACTGCAGACAGTTACTTCAGCTGTCATACCTTTCCCGCCAGGACACACTGTCCCCTCTAAAGTAAACTGTGAGCCCAAATAAACCTCTCCTCTCTTAGCTTGCATCTGTCAGTTATGTTGTTACAGCATAGAGTGGAACTCTATGGAACTAATACAACCTTGTAATAAAAACACCAGGAAGGTAGAGGCAGGAGGATCACGACTTGGAGGCCAGCCTGGGCTACATCCAGACTCTGGTCTTTGAACCCTAGAACAAACTCTCATCTCCTGTTTCACCCCTTATACCTATGATCTCCAGTGCTCCTTCGACACACCCACCTGCAGTCCTTCCGCAGGGCCTCCAAAATACCCAGCGCTGAAAACCTCACGCCCTGCTTCATTTCCCCATGGCAGATAGGTTCCACCACACCATGCAGTCCCTCCGCTTGCCTGCCAGCCATCTAGCTGGCCTAAGCTATTAGGTCCCCGAAGGCTGAGGCTTTGATCCGTTATGTTCAGTGCTTGAATGCTCAGTCCCACCTGCTAAGGGCGAAAGTGAAGTAGGGATTTAAGGGGTACCTGGGTGTTGGTCCCGAGTACTCTCTTCTCTAGGCTTTGGTGAGACAAGAGCAGGGGTGAGAGCTGGGGAGAACCACAGAACAGCCGGAGGGGAGTGTCTATGTGGAGACAATGAGCTGACAAACCCTAGTGACACTTGTTTTCAAATGGTTTATTGAGGGAGGGGAAGTATGGAGGTAAAGTCCTATTTATTTTTGAGACAGGTTCTCACTATGTAGTTTGGAACATGCTATGTAGCCCAGGCTGGCTTGGAACTCAACAGCATTCCAATGGCCTCAGACTCCTACGTGTGTGCCTCCAGGCTAAATGTGTAAGTCTCGACTCTGCTGAGCCACCTCTTCATTTGCACAGCTGCTGCAGTGCCCCCTGAGCTTGGACCCAGCGCAGCTGCCACTGGGACAAGGACAGGCCCTGGCAGAGCTCCCCGGAGAGGGCAACTTGGCCTGGCTGCTCCCACCTGGGGAAGGATACAGTTTGAGAGGAGGGCCAGTCCTCTAGACCCTCCCCCACCATTATGGCTCTAGCCGTGAGCCCCCTCCACCACATATGCAGTTTCCGCATGCCCTCAAGCCCCCAGCTCACCAATCCCCCACAGTCCCCTGCAGCTCCGGGATTCGCTCCAGCGCCTGTTTAAGCAAGTTCTCCAGCCTCTTCAGAGCTTGCCCCATACCTTCTTTCTGCTCCTTCTCTTGGGTCACCTGGAGTTGCAGCAGCTCTGGAGGTCAGAAGCCAGCAGACAGCACTGAGTCCTCTAGCTGGGCAGAGCCTTGCACCCAAAGGGTCAGCAAGTCTCCAGTCACCATTTCTCCCAAACCTGTGTCTCTTGGATCCCCATCTCCAGGACACCACCTCCAAGGCTTCATCCTGGATGCCTTCCTCTCCCACTCTAAAGCCTATCAAACACCATGACCCACTCCTGCAGTGCCTCAGTTTCTCTTCCTCCTGTTTTCCCTAAGGCCTCCTTCCAGGTTCCAGGCTCCCACTCTGGACGCCCTCTACATGGCAGCCAGGGTGATCTTCCTGAAGCTCAACCTGATCCTCCCTCTTGTTCCCCAGGCAGAGTCCAGGCTTCTCAGCCTGGCATTTGATAGCTTGCATTATGCGGTCCCTAGTCCCTTTTCTTGGAGTTAAACCTGTCCTAACCCCAGGGCCCACATGAGATTGTTTTTGAGGGTCTCATGTAGTTCAGGGTGGTCTCATGCTTGCTATGCAGCCAAGGATGACCCTGAGCTTCCGATCCTCCTGCCTCAGCCTCCCCAATACTGGGACTGCAGGCCTGTGCCGCTTTGTCTAGTTTTGCGGTACTGCTTACTGAACCGAGGGCTTTGTGATGGCCAGGCAAGCAGCCCTCTGAGCTGCACCTGCAGCTTCTTTGGGAAGCATCCTCATCCTTCCTAGCATCCCTCATCCCAGGTACTTCTCAGCCTGCTCCATCCCTTCATTTTGGCAGGGTTTCCCCTGGATGGTGAATGGGCCTAGTCCGTCTCCATGTGCAAGAACAGGGCCCCACTCAGACCACATGCAGATGGAAGGTGGTCTCTGAGCTCCCTGCCTGTGACCTCTATCATGACTCCTGTTCTTTAGCTCAGCCTGATGCCAGAGGGAATTTGTCATCATGGTCTGATGGGATAGCAGGCAGATAAGGAACTCTGGAACTTGAACTCTGGGAGCTTGCTGATGGGCTGGCGTGGGAGTTAGGGAGTTGGGGGAGTTAAGCCTAGTTTCTCCCGGGGTGAGGATCATTTAGTGAGGACAAGAAACTAGGAAGGAAGGGAACAAAATTATTCTTTAGAGTAGAGGGAGCCAAAAGTTGTTACAGATGTGTTAAGAGTTCAAGGTACCCATGAGGCCAGGTGTGGTAGTGCAAGCTTCTAACCCCAGCATGAGGGACGCTGAGGCAGGAGTGTTTAGTTTGAGAGGATTGTAGGCTGCCTAGCCAGACCTTGCCTCAAGAAACAACAGCAACAAAACAACAAAAACAAAGCAATGACAAAAGAATACACTCTGGGCTGACGAGATGGCTCAGCGGGTAGAACTTGCTGCCAAGCCCAACAACCTGAATTTGATCCCTAGGACCCACACTGTAGAAGGAGAGCCGACTCCCACAAGCTCTCCTATCTCCACAAGCATGCTGTGGCAATATGCACACATTAGAATAAAGAACACATTCCAGTGGTGATGAGTGAGCAACTAGATGGGTTGTGCAGTCTTGTGGTTAGGAGCACAGACCCATGTCTTAGTACCTGGGTTTGTGCTAGCCAAATGATGCGCAGGTACTTGTGAGGCTGTGGCAAGAGGATCTCGAGTATGAACTCACTGGGTTACACAGTGAGTTCCAGACTAACCTGAGCTATATACCAAGACCTTGTCTCAAAAGCCAATAAAAACAAACTAATTGACCCTCATTCTACCATGCCAGCAGGCTTCTAAGCCTTGTGCAGTTGGGCTCCCTGCTCTGTAAACAGGGATCGGCAGTGAGACTGCATGGGTTTGCTGTGCTGGAGGAACAAGCGCACTGTGGTAAGTGGTGGGGGTTCTCATCACTACAGGAAAACCATGGTGGCAGGAACAGGTAGAAATGCTGGCTATGGGAAGCAAGCAGGGTAGCGTACGCTGGGTGGATGATTCCAAAGGCAAACTCGTCTTCCTCTGGAGATCTCCTCCTTGGAGACTCCACTGGTCCTGAAGAAACAGAAGGTCTTGGCGGAGAGAGGCAGCTTTTGGAAGCAGCAGTTCTGGTGCCTGGAGGAAAGGGGATGTTTGGTCACCTTGGCCAGGGGATGGGATGGGGACTGGCAGACAGACCCCAGGGGATAGGCACTCACCTTCCCCGCAGGCAGCCCTAGTGTGTGGCTCAGTGGAATGAGGCTGGAACCTCTTGGAGTGGTGGGGTGCAGCTGATGGATAGATAGGGTCCTGGACAGCGGCTTTAGCCTGGGACAGAAGGTGTGGAAGCACTGAGAGGAGGGCTGGATTTCTAGACATTTTGGGAGCCCAAAGACTTGTAGGTTGGTCTAGAGACTAGCAGGCCAGATCAGGGCTGATGATTTAGGGGTGAGGCTTGGTAGTCTGGGGGTTCTGTGGCTACTCTTGTGTCTGTGGTGTGTATATGCAGGTACAGGTGCACACGTGTGTACAAGCATATGGAAGCCCAAGGTGGACACCAGGTGTCTTTCCTCATTCTCCACCTTTTTCTTGAGACTGGGTCTCTCCTCCCATGGAACCTAAAGCTTATGGGTTTGACTAGGCTGGCCAATGGACTTCAGTGATCTGCCTGTCACTCACTGCCGTGCCTGGCATTTTACATGACTTCTGAGGATCCAAATTCAGGTCCTTGTGCCTGGGTGGCAGGTACTTTACCAGCTGAGCCATCTCCCCAGTCCTGGGGCTATTCTTTTAGACAGTGTTTTGGAAGGGACAGTCACCCATGGCAGAGGACATGGGATTGGCTCCAGTCTCACTCTTCAGCATGATACCATAGCAGGGGACCCAGCAGAATGTGAGGCAGATGTCGGGCTTCCTCCTCCAAGCAGCGGAGAAACTCCTGGCTCTGGGGTGCTACTGCCTCAGAGATGGGGATGACCCTGTGCTGAATCAGAGCCAGTACCTGTGGGATGGAGAGAATGGGTGGTGTAGCCTGGGTCCACCTGCCCCAGCCAACTCTTGCCCCACAGCCATCTTACCTCTTCTGGACCCTGGGCCAGGCGGGTCTTGCTGGCTGAGTTTCCTTTGATGAGCAGGCGGATCTGTTCCTGGGTCTCTTCCTGGGGAACCCAGAGCCACCGATACCAGCTTTATGTTCTTCCCACTGCCCAGGGCAGTGCACCCCTTCATCCAGGGTACTGGTCCTGTTTCCTCCTGGGAGTCTCATCCTGCATCTCCCTTCTCTCAGAGGTCCAGTCTGTCCAGCTGTTCTTCCTTCTATCCTCCCTCCCTCCCCTCCCCTCTCTTTTCTTTTCCTCACTTTCCTTCCCTCCCATTCTTTTTTGTTTCTTTGAGACAAAGTCTCATGTAGTCCAGGCTAACCTTGAGCTTCTGATATTCCTGCCTCTACCTCCCAAGTGCTGTATTATAGGTATGTGTCACCATGCTAAGCTTGAGGATTAGTGTTTTTTGTTTTTGTTTTGAGACAGGATCTCCCCTGTAGCCCCAGCTGACCTGGAACTCACTATGTAGACCAGGCTGGCCTCAATCTCAGAGATCAGCCTGCCTTTGCCTCCTAGTGCTAAGATCAAAGGTGTGCATCAGCACATCCAGCTAGAAGATCAGGTTTATTTTATTTATTGTATTTTATTTTTTTGTTTTTTTTTGTCTTTTTGAGACAGGGTCTCCCTGTAGCCCCAGCTGTCCTGGAACTCACTATGTAGACCAGGCTGGTCTTGAACTCATAGAGATCCGCCTGCCTCTGCCTCCCGAGTGCTGGGATTAAAGGTGTGTGCCACCACGCCCGGCTATTTTATTTATTTTATTTTATTTTGAGACAGGATCTCCCCGTAGCCCCAGCTGACTTGGAACTTACTATGTAGACCAGGCTGGCCTTGAACTTACAGAGATCCATCTGCCTGCCTCTGCTTCCTGAGTGCTGGGATTAAAAGCAGGTGCCACCATGCCTGGCTGATCAGTTTTTTGTTTTTTAATATTTTACTTATTATTTTTATGTGTATGAATGTATTGCCTTCATGTATATAAGTGCACCTGTGGTGTGCAATGCTCATGGAGGTTAGAAGAGGATGTCAGATTCCCCGCAACTGGAGTTATGGACAGTTGTTAGCCACCATATAGGTGCTGGGAACCTGGGTCCTCTGCAAGAGCAGCCAGTGCTCTTAACCACTGAGCCCTCTCTCTAGCCCCCGGGGATCATTTCTTGATCTTCAAGTCCCACACCTCCACTCTGGCCTTCCATCAGCCTGGAGCCATGTCTTACCACCAGCTGGCGCCACTGCAGGATTCGCTGCTGCTTAGCCTGCAGCTCGCGAAGCAGAAGTTGCCGGTGCCCAACTGCATTCCCTAGTTCCTGGCTCTGGGCACGAAGGGCCTGGAGCTCTGCCCACAAGCCACAGCCCCGAAGCCCCAGCAGCAGAGCCTTCCTGGAGGATAAGCAGAAGAGAGCAAAGGGAAGGGACTGGCAACCACACCGGGAAGAAAGGCAAGATCTTCAGAGACACAAGGAACCACAAACACAGGGAGACAAACACCAGGAAAGGGAAGCAAGGGAGCTCTGGCGGTAGACCATGTCCGACATCCCCAGACACGTGAGAGAGAGGGCCTAAGGCCTCTGCTGACGGAAGCCCCCTCACCTCTCACTGGATCCCAGGTGACATCTCTCCACCTCTTCCACTAGGCCCTTGAGGTGGCCAGTCAGGACTTGTCGCTCACTCAGGAGAGTGCTCCTCTGGGTGACTAGAGCACCCACTGTTTGCCAGCCCTCCTGGGGGTACAAAGTCTGTGAAGTCTGTGTGGACATGGCCTGTGGTGGTGGTGGTGGGGGTGTCCACCACCTAAGTGGGTCTTGGGAAGGTGCCTTGGGGTTACCTGGATGAGATGAACAGTGGATGGCAGGGTCCGGCTGGAGTCTGATGGGTCCAGTGCCTGGGGCCTAGGGTGGAGGCAGAGCAGAGGAGGGAGCAGCCCTTTATCTTTGCCTTGGTAAGTGGGGGTAGCCAGTATTAGCCCCCGCTGCTGCTACTGGCAGTATTCAGTTCCATCCCACCTGCAGGTGCTTGCTCCTGACTGTGGGAATATGCACTCCATACCTGGGTATCTCCACATTATTCAGCCCATCCTCGCTACACAGGGAGCGGATCTCTGCCTCCCGCTCTGCAGCCAGGTACTCCAAGGCAGCCAGGACGTGGCCTGCGGGGTGGTTTGTCAGCAGTGTCTGGTGAGGATAAGGGGGAAAGTCAGGGCAAGTCTGTGGTGTAGGGTTGTAAGCCAGGTCCCTGGGGAAATGACTTAGGGATGAAGGGTCAGGGGTTGGCAACCTGAGGTTTGATCCTGGGGTGTCAGAAAAGGAGGTGGCCTTTCCTGAGAGCCCTGCCCTCTCACCTCCACTGAGCTGAGCCACTGCTGGTAGGAAGTTCCAAAGTGATCATCATAAGGGCTTCTGTGGAGTTAGGGAAGGGGACAGAGAATACCATAGGACATACCAATCACCTCTAATTATCACTGCTATACCTAGGAAGGGGCTACCACTATCCTCAGTATATAGGTGAGGAAACAATCCATTATGCTTGCCAGACTTCAGTTCCTGTTATACCTCCTACCTTCCTGGCCTTGGGGCCTTTACATGTTCTGCCTGGGACACCATTTTTTTTTTTTTTTAATTAAAAAAATTCTATTCTTTGGTAACTTCATACATATATAAATCTTAATTTTTTTTTTTTTAATGTGGTTGCTGGAGAGATGGCTCAGTGGATAAGAGCATTGACTGGTCTTCCAGAGGTTCTGGGTTCGGTTCCCAACACCCACATGGCAGCTCACAACCTTCTGTGGGTATGCACACACATGGGACACTTACATATATGCAGGCAAAACAACCATACACACAAAATAGAAAATTTAAAAACTCTGTGTCTGTTTGTGCAATACAGGCAATGCCCACAGAGGCCAGAAGAGGGCATTGGATTCTGTGGAACTGGAGTTACAGATGGTTGTCAGCTGCCATGTGGGTACTGTGAACTGAACCCAGGTCTTCTGTAAGAGCAACCAGTGATCTTAACCACTGAGCCATCTCTCTATCTCCAGCCTCCCTGGAACACCTTCTTGACATGTCACCCTAAGAATCCTCACCAAACCCAACTCCTCTCTGCCCTCAGTGCTGCCTAAGGGCCTCCTCTGGGTGCCTAGAGCCTCAAGCTTCCCCACCCCCAACAGCCCTGACAACCTGGCTATCACTACCTATGGGGGGGGGCGGGTCTGTCTCTTCCTCTTCTCAGCCTGGAATCCCTCACAGAGCAGGGATTGGAACTGACACAGTTCAGCCACCTCCCACCCCCAAAGTCCAGGTTCTTGGCAGGGTCCCTAGAGCCTGAGGACACTCACAGGGGACTGCCTCCCTTGGCCTGGGGAATCAGAAGGTTCTGTAGGAACTGGGTCCGGAGGGAGCAGGCTGTCCGAACATCACGCTAGGGAGAAGAGGATGTGGCATGAAGGGGATCCAGGCCTCTGGCTTGACCCCAACTCCTCACAGCATGGCTCAGACTCTTACCAACACTTCAGGCTCCAGGGCCAGGGTTGCTGACATCAGGGGTCCAAAGGCCACGTCCACTTTAGCTTTCCTGGAAGGAAAAGTACAATGTGGGGTGGGTCTCAGGGAAAGCAGATGTCTGTGCTCCATCCCCTATGACTGTGAGCATGGCTAGCCTCAGGGATTGCTGAGCCTGGCTCTCATGAGCTACCTCCAAGATTAGGCCTGTCATCTCCTATATTAGCCTCCTCATTTATCTCCTATCCTATCACTTGGAGGCTGAGACGGGAGAATCATTAGAAGCTAACCTGAACTAAGTTCCAGGTCAGCCTGGAACTCTGAATGACACTCTGACTCAAATCAACAACAAAGCTAGATTTAGTTGGGCTTGGCATGGGTTTGTCATCCCAGTAACTTGGAATGCCTGGCACAACGTCCTGGGCTACAAAACAAGTTCAAAGCTAGCCTGGGCAACTTGGTGAGCCTCAAAATGTGTTTTTTCTCCCTGTAGCCCCAGCTGGCCTGGAACTCACTATGTAGAACAGGTTGTCCTTGAACTCAGAGATCCATCTGCCTCTCCCTTCCGAGTGCTGGGATTAAAGGCCTGTGCCACCACGCCTGGCTAATTCTTAAAATTTATACAAAGTTAAAAAAGGAGGATGGGGGCTGGAGTGATGGCTCAGCAGTTAAAAGCGCTGGCTGCTTTTGCAGAGGACCTGGGTTCAGATCCCGGCATCCACATGGTAGCTAAAAATCATCCATAACTCCAGTTCCAGGGGATCCAATGTCCTCTTCTGGCCTCTGTGGCACTGTGTGACATGGGTGTACCTACATACATGCAGGCAATACACCCCTACACATAAAATAAAAATAATAATAATTTAAAAAAAGTAGGGGCTGGAAAGATGGCTCAGCGGTTAAGAGCACTGACTGCTCTTGCAGAGGACCCAGGTTCGATTCCCAGCACCCACATGGCGGCTACGAACCGTCCTTAACTCCAGTTCCAGGGGAATCCGAAGCCCTCTTCTGACCTGTGCGGCACTGCACGACACGGGTGCACTCACATACATGCAGGCAATACACTCCTACACATAAAATAAAAATAATAAAATGTATTTTTAAAAAAAGTGGAAAAGGGTAAGAGGTATAGCTCAGTGGCAGAGCAGTTGTCTAGTATGTGTGAGGCTCTAGTGCCTAGTACCACAACAAAAAACACCCTCAGGAAATCTAAGGAGAGACAGGGCATTGGGCACTGCTATAGTTAACAGACATCTTCCAGGTTGACATGACTAAACTCACCTAAGTATGATACCTACCGTAAAGGATGGAATTAGTATCAGCCCTGTTCCATAGATATTGGAAACGAAGGCACAAAGACCCCAACAAAAGTCACAAGGCTCCAAGTAGCCAAACCAGGGCAAGAGCAGTCTCAGAGTGAAACTCCAATGCCTACATGGCCCTGTCCACCTTTCTAACCATACCTCCTCACATTGCCCCTCAGGCCAGCAAGGGTTGGGCTACACTACCTCCTGGCTGTCCATCCCCTAGGCTGAGTTCCAGCCTCCATTCTTGCTATGGAGACTCCCCTGCAACTCAAATGTTACCTCTTAGGCCCAAAGTACACCCGTTTCCGTTTATCATATGGCCTTTTCTTCCCATAGCTCCACCTGAAAGTATGGGACGTTTCCCAGGCTACCACCTGTCTTCTCTGCAAGACCATAAGCTCTAGGAGGGTGAGGACTTGTCCTGCATACACAGTTGTTTTCCCAACGAGGATGTTTAGATGTCTAGTTGGCACCATAAATCCAGGTGCCTAGAATGATAAAACTTACTGTCTGAATGGACCTTATGTTATGTGTGGAAGCTCAGAATTCTAGAAGCAGGAAGAGACCAGGTAGAGCACTGGTGTCTCTTAAGGAGAATGTCTGCCTTCCCTGGCAGAGTCCCACCTCTCCATGTCCTGCAGGCGCCTGAGCTGATTCTGCAGCCTCTGTATGGGATCTCGAAGCCCATGTTGATGTCTTCGCACGGCCCCAGCTTGGGCCCGGAGGAGGATAGCTTGATACTGGGTGTCTCGAAGGCTTTGCAGTGCCTTCTCCATGGCCAAGTCTGTGGGAAACAGGGGTGGCCTATCAGCTCCTTCCCACCCCTGGGTTTCCCTGCCCATCTGTCTGGTCCCAAGAGTCACCCTGAGCCTCAGTCTCGTGCTCCATCAGCTCCAGGCTCTGGTCTAGCTCTTGGATCTCAGCCCGCAGGCGGGCCACAGTGGCTTCCAGCTCCAATTTCCGACGGACCTGGTGGGATCAGGTACAGGGTCAGATAGTCAAATGCTTGGACTCATGGGGGCTTAGTCTCGTCAGACCACCTTTTGGGAGGCAGTAGGCTCCTCATCTGCTGGGGGTGGGTAGGTAGCAGGGTTTTTTCCTAGGCAGTTTCTGGGACCAACATAGATGCGTTAAGAATCTAGCTGGCTCTCTCCTTCCTCTTGGGAGAGCCCCCAGCATACCCAGCACCTGCAGGGCCTACAGCAAAATATTTGCTTGTTATTTTTTGGATGAAAGAGGATCTTAAAGCACAGGTTTCTCACCTCTGGACTGTCCTGGTGGCCATACCTGAAGAAATGAGACCAGATTTAGGAGATGGCTGGGCTTTCAGGTAGAAGGCAGAAAGTGGAAGCGGTGGGTATAGGCATGCCAGACAGGGCCAGGAGAGATAGGAAAGGATGACTTTGAGAAGCAGTTACCAGAGTAGGTTTCCCCGGATCTTCTTGATACTCCTACATGGGAGAGGTGGAGGGAGAGGGGTTGGGGAGGGCCTAGCCCATACCCCTGCCCCTTCCCTGCCCCTTCCTCTGCCCTAGCTTGGCTTACCTTTGACTCCGCACGTGCTGCATGATGTAGGCCCAGATGTCAGCCCCTTGGCCCAGACACAACCTGAAGGAACACAGTATAAGGTATGCCTAGGGCATCACCCAGGCAGAGAACTCTCCACTATTCATTGCTTAATGGTGATGGGAAAGTCTATTAGGGAGTTCTCATTTCTGGAAAGGGGAGGCCAGTGCTATTGGGGAGGGGTCACTGAGACAGTGGGCTTCTCACTGTGTGGGGATATCTTCATTTCATGATGCAGTTTCCTTTTCTCCTAGGAGAGGGTTACCTGTGGTCACTTCCAGAGGTGGGGTGAGAGGTCTCCCCACTGGGAATGCTTTCTCATAACAGGACAGTTATTCCTACAGATCGTCCCCAAGAGGCTGGCCATTGCTGACTCCCCTTGTTAGGGTGGAACTGACAGAGATCCCCACCTCTGCAGGGAGAGCCTTCCTCAGGAAGCATAAGAGTGTGTGGGGGTGGGGTCTTCATTAACTCTTGGACGATCTTCACTGGTGCCAGGGATCCCGCTTTGGGCAGCTTCCCAGGGTCACCGCCCAGGCTCCTCACTCAACTCCGGGACTCTACTACTCAGGGTGGGGCGCCCTCAGTAACCCGGGGGCTCACGTCCTGGGCGAGGGGTGGGGCTCTTACTCCCTGAGTCTCTATTTCCAGGATGGGGGGGGTCCTTACCCGCTGCGCCACCTCACCTGCGCAGCGTCGACTCCGGGGCGCGGGCCGCCTCGGGTACCCCCATTTCCTCCGCCGCCCAGCAACCTAGCTCCCGCGCCTCCTGAGCTAGCTCCATGACAGTGCCAGAGGCAGCTGCAGCAACTACAGCAGCAGCTTCCCGCACTCTCTTCAAGTATGGCGCCCACCTCTGACGTCACGAGGGCGCCATCGGTGAAGTCACAAGTGCTAGGCAGACTGCGCGCCCCGGCGCTGCTAGGTCTTGGAGCTGTGCGGCTGTGTCTTGCTGCTTTCCCAACTCCAGTCCCAGTGAGTGAAGATGAATAGGACAGGGCGAGGTGGTTGGTGGCTTGCCATCGTTCTCTCACTCACCACTGTTCCGTAAGAGACAAAAGGTCCTGAAAACTTCCCTTTAATTTTTTGAAAAATGAGACTTTCATCCTAAGAGGATGTGAACCAAGTGAGGAGAGACGCTGGATTTGCTGCTCGCTTTATTAAATATATATATATATATATA